TATGCTTCAGAGAATGGTTACGCCTGAAGGTTTTAAAAATAATGGAGATAAATATGAAGTCAAGGGAAAGCCGGCCAGGGAATGAGGTGTGTCAATCTGCTTCCCGTCTGTTAAACTCTTCTCTGAGCTATATCAGGAAGTAGAAAAGCGCAGCGGCAGTGATCTGGACTAGTAGATAAGATATCGGGGATCGAGTTCTTGGCGAGCTTGCTCCCTAGCCGTTTCAGTAACATAGCTCCAAAGACTCGTGGCAGACTCGCGGCATTTTTAGTTAATTGACAGTAGTTACCTGTATAAAGAATTTCAGAGCAGCTGCTAACAACCTTAGAAGAAATCCGCTCATGACTGCACCTCTGGCGCTCACGGCAGATGTTTTCGGTCGCATGAAGTGTGGTGTTCGTATCAGGGAGATAGAATCGTACCCATGTACGCACCAGAAACGCCAGAAACGGGACTGCCAACAGCTCATTTCAAAGAAGAGTTCAGCAGACAGCGAAAGGAAATTCGAGCTCAGTGTCTTGAGTGCGCATAGACCTGCACATCCTTTCATTCGCCCGTGTTGTGTTGACCTAATGACCTTTCCCGATGGAGCAGAAAGTTTAAAGAGACGTCTTGAATTAGATACAACAACAATCAAAATTGAAACGTAATACTCACCAAATCCCATCGCAAGCTACAACCAGAAACTCATCACTCGGTTGTAACGTCTCCACTTTAACATCGGGCAATGCTCTACAAATAGATAACCTCAGTCTAAGTAATTTATTATTTAGGAAATGAAACTCAAAACTTAACTCAAAACATCATTCGATGTACAGAAAGAAAATGAACTTACGTAATCATTTGATCCCGTAATGGTAAATCCGCATTCTTCTTGTAACTATGGTCACCGAAAGCACGTGATAAATTCAAACCACCATTTACTCTGAAACAAACAAGCCCGTACAACTTCATAAAACTATAACCGATACTACATTTGTTTCAAAAAATTTAGATGCTGTTTAATGAGGATGGGTTGGGAAGTGGGATACGCCCCCGTAACCTAACTTGTACGAAACGAACAGCCTTACTTCATCACTCACAAAAGTTTTTTATCTACAAGAATTTGACCTTTCTCAATTGTGCGCACCCTTTAGACTGTAACCTCATCACCTCGCACGTTTCAGCTTTTACTATGTCTCGTGACTCGGGCCCCTTCGTATTTCCTAGGACACAACCACAGCAGTCCCGCCGTGTATGGTGTGGGTCCAGAGAGGCAGACACACGGTGATTGGCCTTCGTCCACTTACTGCATATGGCCTCTAAACTGGCTACATTCCCACTGGTTTACGGTTTCTTCTTTGCACATTGATGCTATCATATCTCGCTGAGAGAGCGCAGATAAGTTGCGCTATGCGATGGCAACTATCCTCTCATCGATTAAGTACTACTAAATTCATTATACACAAAATCTGCGCCTCTCCAGACACCATGGAGCACCAAAAACACCAACGGATCACCATAGCGAGTGACACGTTTGCATTTGCGTTTTGACATATTTCAAAGACGCACAATAATATTTCCCAACCCTAACATCCTCAAACAAATACTAATAGAAACAACAAAAAAACTACAATAACATTGGAACATACCGCCCATCTTCATTGACGAATCCACCAGCATTTATTATACGCGTCTTCTCAATGTCATCTTCTGGTTTGTGGTCCATAGACAGATCGATGGCTGTGCCGCCTCGACAAAGCACCGCTCGCGAATCGCCAGCATTTGCAACTACGATCTACAAATCATCAAATAAATCTCTTCTCCAGATATCACGAGTGAATATTACTAGCGATTACTAGGCGAGAGATTATGAAAAAAATATCAAAATGACGCGAGAAGGGTTTAAAACCGAAGAAAAGATGAACAAACGTACCCTTTCCTTATTCATTAAGCAAACGCAAGCCGTAGTCCCTGAGTCTTCTCCAGGTGTTTCTAATCCGCCAGGAATCGCCACTTCCTTAAAAACACGACATATTAGAGAGCATTTGATATTGATTGATACACGATCGAGGTATACACCGAGATGCTCGCCTCTTTGAAAAAATTTCCCGCGCGCGCACGTTCAAATATACGTAGCACTGGAGCGAGCATTCAACTAGCTAGAGTGATTGGAGACACTGCGCAATTTCGTGCCTTTTCCCATATTTTGAGTTTGCTCTCCGCACTGGTACCACCGCAGGCAAGAGTATAGATATTCTAGCAGGAGAGCAGGAATGATAACTAGGGGATGCGGTCGTTCGCACGAGAGTACTGGTAGGAAGCGTCTTTGGATAGCAAGGTAATGAATTGGAAGCATGGGAGTTTAGGCACCACCACAAATGTACCTCTTCTTGATCCCACAAGAATCGATCATCGTTTTTCCTATCTCTTGTAGCATTGAATTGGTATATTTTGCAAGACATTTTTTTTAGGAAAATGATAAAATGACAGTATGTTGACGCGCTAATCTTCGTTAAGTCCACACTGGAGGCAACTCAGAGCGATTTATCGGGGATTTTTTCACTGCAACTGCTTGGATTTGTGCTTCCATCCAGTAAGTCGTGAGAGCAAAGCCCATCACCCTTTCAAATATCTACAGCGGTGTTTTCAAAAACTGTTCACCAGTCAGTGACCTCAGCAAAAGTAATAATACATACCTGAAACGAAAAAGCGAGGAATCATAGGAACAGTTGTGATGAACTTCCCAACATAATTTTTTGACGTAAACTGCATTACGGGAAATAAGTGGACGCTACTGACTGCCAGAGCTACTTGACTACTAATTAGTGTCTACAGGTGAAAATCAGAAGGTTGCCTTAAATTTTCACCGAACGAAGAATTGCCGATATTCATGGGTTTCAGCAAGGAGACGGCAATATGTTGAGTGCGCAAATCGTTTTGAATACAGTGACTTATTAGTAGGAGCTAAGTCACAGCCCCCTTAAAGGCAGAGCAATATCACCAGTTTGCCTAGAATATAAGAGATGTAGTACTCATCCTCAGTGGGCTTGGTGGGCGAGAACGGCAGCATGCGACACACTGCATTAGGGTTATGGAAACGCTCAGTTTGAGTTTGGACTGAGCCTCAAAGGAGAAGAGTGGCTCCGAAGTGCGTGAGCAACCTTTCTCTCCAAAATCGTCTCCCTCCGTAGCTCAGTTCCAGAAAACCTTCTACAGACTGCACTCTCCCCCGTCCTCCCCCGTTTTGTAGTTACAAAAGAGCATTACCTAACGAAGAAGACAAACGCTGACTCTTAAGAAATATCCTTTGAGGAAGTTAATCCTTCATTGTGAACCACATCTACCTCTACAAGTCGCATTCCTTCAGGAATTTCCATAGTGACTCTAACACCAGTATAGCTGGGAGAAAGCTCGCCCCAGTGCGACATCTGTTTAAACGAGCGCGCGCGGGAAGTTTTTTCAAAGAGGCGAGCATCTCGGCGTATACCTCCGATTGATACACATCAATCCTGCTTATGACTACTGTACGTGCTTATTCTCAGAAAAAAAAGCAAATATGAGAAGAAATTAGGCTCCGAATGATTCCTAACTAAAAACTAAAAACTGCTTGAAGTCTTTGAAACTCACATCACCGTCGTCATCCGACTCATTCTCTTCCTCATCTTCACATTCCTCATCTTCTGCTTCTTCTTCGGCTTCGTTGAAGTCAGAATCGTCCTCGGATTCGTCATCATCCCTTAAAATGCAATCTATTTACGCAGTGTCTTGAAAAACGAGTTCAAAGCGTTCCGGATGTTATTTCTGTCTAATCTATCGTTTTATAGATCAAAACTTCATTGAAAATTCCTATCTAAAGGAAATAATGGGCAAAAAATCAAGTTATATAGAAGAAAGCATCTAGCATTAATAAACAAGTAAATTGCCAAAAGCAGTCTATTCAATAGTAGTTGGGTGCCACCTAGTAGAATAGGAGCTATTTTCTACCTGTGTTCATTCTGCTCCCACTTAAGCCTGATTGGGTCAGCTCTTCGGATAGGAAGTCAAAACCGAAACTTCAAAAAAATGAAACCCGAAACCCGATGAACACTACTTTGGGACTTGAAGACCTCTAAAATCAACACATTGATGAAAAAAACATGTATCAACATTAAATCCAATGCCACTGTAAATCTTGCGACACTGGGTGAAGTTGTTGAAAATGTTATTGGTTCTTCTGACTGAGTGAGCACAATACTTGCTGAACACTCTGCACATGTCAAGAAAAACCGAGCCTAGGTAATGATAAGACTATTAAGAAGTAGAAAAATCAAAATCAAATGATTTTTGGCAAATTAAATGCACGGCTACTTACTGAACGACACTTTTCTTGAGCCTTTTTGGTAAATTTCGGAAACTTCGAATGATTCCTTGAAGTGATCTCCGGAAAACAAAAATCATCCATCAAAAAAATCACACATTTCCGGGTTTCGATTCTATAGTTGCTACTTTTCGAACTATAATCTATACGGAACCACATTCAAAAACAACCCCAACTTACCATTTGAACCCTACTACTACTAGTACAGCGAAACCTAAGGATGACAAATAAATACCAAGGAATACTCACGCGATGCCATCGTCAGCTTTTTTATCGGCATTCACTGGCACTTTTTTCTGTTTCGTTTTAATTATTGGCGGAGTCTGCCCATTTCCTTCTACGGCTTTATGCTCATCTGCTGCTGCATGATCCTCATTGTTCGAGTTATTCGTGTTGCTTGAAAAAAGGCAATGTACAACTTGCACCACCTTTCGGATCAACAAAAACTTTTCATACCTCTC